TAATGCAGTGTTTCTGTATGCCCTTACCAGTTTCCCACTAATGTGAACATCTTGTATCGACATGGTACATTTGTAAAAACTAAAAAGTCAGTGTTGGCACATTACTCCTAACTCCAGACTTCATCAGATTTTCCACTCACGCTCTGTCCCAGGATCAAATCCAGGATACCACACTGCATTTAGAGAAGCTGCATTTTTCACAAGCTCTTCTAGCTGATGAGAGGGAGGTGGGTGGGGATCACATCTTCAAAAACACTGGGACATTTACAGGCCCGAACCAAAATTGCTGCATTCCCAAGTTGGGGAGGTGAAATGCAATTTTGAAGAGGATAATTGGTGGAGGAGATGAATATAGCAGACCGATTTTAGAATTAAAAATGGAATCCTCTCCATTAGATGAGAGGGAGTTACCTTCAGAACAAGGCATTAATGCCAGGAAAAATAGGTTTTGGAAGGAAGGGGTACAACCTCATCCTCAGGCTAGATTGAGAATACATAAGTAAGGCTGTGAGTAGGTCAGAATCAGCAAGTGCAGCAAATTGGGAACAGGTGTTTCAGAGAACACACACAGAGGGCTCACATAAAGGGAATTACAAGGGGTCAATTAGCCTGCAAGCTACATACAACCTGCATGTTCTGGAACCTGGTGCTAATGCTTTGGCAGTGGGTCACGATGAAAAACATCAAGCACTGCCACAGTGAAAAATAGCAGAAAAGGTAAAGGTGAGGCTGGGAAGATTTTGTTTAAGGAGAGTTCTAAGGGTCTTGGGTGAAGCAGGGGCTGGAAGGGGAGGTGGATAAAGCACTTGAAGCTCTGCCTGTGATTAGTTGTCACACTGAGGAGACACAGGAGTCCCCAGCTCGGGTGACAGGTAAAGGTTCGTACAGTTGAGAATGTGAGGATAAAGCAATATATATTTTTAAGAAGCCAGCAGCCTCTTTTTGGAATCCATGGAGGTTTTTTGAAGGAGATAGCACCCATATTTTACTAAAGACCTTAGGTTCTAGGACTATCACTGAGTTTTCCTAATCACAGCCGAATTGCTCAGCTTCCTTACAGCAGTTGTAAGAGTCACCTAACCTGTTCCTTCTTAAAGAATGTTAACCATTTTTCACTGGACTCAAGATTCTTGTAATGTCTATACTAATTTTCTTTCCCACTTAGTTCTTTACCCTAGAAATCCTAAACCACAAGCTGATATTCTTTAAATTTCACATTAAGTACATGTTCTGTCACTTGTCAAATGTGTTTGAAAAAGTTCAACAGAAATTGCTGGAGAGGATGTAGAGAAACAGGAATGCTGTTACACTGTTGGTGGGAGTGTAAATTAGTTCAACCATTGTGGAAGGCAGTGTGGCAATTCCTCAAGGATCTAGAAATAGAAATTCCATTTGACCCATCAATCCTATTACTGAGTATATACCCAAAGGATTATAAATCATCCTGTTATAAAGACACATGCACATGTATGTTCGTTATGGCACTGTTTACAATAGCAAAGACTTGGAACCAACCCAAATGCCCATCAATGATAGACTGCATAAAGAAAATGTGGCGCATATACACCATGGAATACTATGGAGCCATAGAAAAGGGGGAGCTGTGTCTTTTGCAGGGACATGGATGAAGCTGGAAACCATCATTCTCAGCAAACTGACACAAGAGCAGAAAACCAAACACCACATATTCTCACTCTTAAATGGGTATTGAACAATGAGAACGCATGGACACAGGGAGGGGAACATTACACACTGGGGTCTGTTGGGTGGTCAGGAGCTAGGTGAAGGATTGCAGGGGGTAGGGAGATTAGGGAGGAATAACATTAGGAGAAATACCTAATGTAGGTGATGGGGGTGATGGATGCAGCAAACCACTGTGGCATGTGTATACATATGTAACAATCCTGCAAGTTCTGCACATGTACCCCAAAACTTAAAGTACAATAAAAACAAATAAATAGAGAGAGAGGAAAGAAAGGAAAAAGAAAGAAGGAAGAAAGAAAGAGAAATAAATAAATAGAGAGAGAAAGAAAGAAAGAAAGAAAAGAAAAAAAGAAAAGAAAAGAAAAAAGAAAAGAAAAGAAGAAAAGAAAAGAAGAGAAAAGAAAGAAGGAAATTGCCTTGGCAACCTGTGTCCTAGGAGGCAGGCTTCACTGAAGGCGTCCTAGATCTTTTGCATTCCTCGCTGGCACAATGTTGGGCCCAACCAGGTAAATAAGTGTCTGGCCATTAAATTTAAGGTCATTTAATCCTTAAATTGATAGATTCTGGGTGTTTTCTACAAATTTGCATAGAAATTAGCACTTACCTGGGAGAGTTTTCTGCCAGCTGTCAAAGGATTTTCCAAGTAGTTCCATACTCAAGGATGCTGTGTGATGAAAAAATGAAGCCACAGAAATCTTAAATGTGTTAGGAAAAGGGCTGGGTGATGAAAGATTCTAGCGAATCTGCACACTGCAGCAAAGTGTTTCCAGAAACACTGCATAACCTAAATACAGAATCAAGAGTAATTTGGGTTTTGGTTAAGATTGGCTTTGGCATGTTTTTTTAAAAGCAAGGAATAGTGTATTTAGAAATGTAAGAAAACTACATAAAAAAATAAACCTTGAGTTGTAATAAAATCAGACTTAGTGTTGCTGGATTTCAGTAATGTATGGGCATCTAGGTTACATAAAGAGAACATGTGAATAAAATACCAAGATAAAATTTCTCTAGAAACTTTGAGCTTTAACATTACATAGTTCATCTCAGAATAAACTTTATAGAACTGACAATAGGCAACCGCTTTTATGCTACAAAAATGGCCATTTCACTTGCTTCAAATCCATATTTCAGATCTTTGTCTTTCCTTTGTAATGAAGGTGTAAACATTTTAGTTCACACTATACTAGAGTTAAAATTTCACTGGTGTCTGTATTACAAATGTTAAGATACTCCTAAAAATGAGAGTAAATTTGAGCTTTGGTAGTCAATCTTTTTCATAGTCTTATGTTAGAGATCTAATCTTTCCCAGGTATCAAACTCTATGAAAACTGCCATAGTTACCACCGACTACCAACTTAATTTCCATGCCCCATAACAGTTGTCAGAGAACCTACCCACTTTCAGTGACACTTATATTCTTATTCTAACTTGACCCGATTTTTCATTTATCGAAATGACTATATTGCCCTCTGGAATTCAAGCCAAAGGAAAGAACGATGTTACTGGTCCCTAGTCTATTGATTTACTCTATTTTTGTCACCTAGGCTGGAGTGCAGGCATGATCATGCCTCACTGCAAACTCTGCTTCCCAGGCTCAAGTGATTCTCATGCCTCAGTCTCCCAAGGAGCTAGGACCATAAGCAACTGCCACCATGCTCAGTTAATTTTTGTGTTTTTAGTAGAGAAGAGGTTTTGCCATGTTGGCCAGGCTTGTCTTGAACTGCTGGGTTCAAGTGATCTGCCCACTTCAGCCTCTCAAAGTGCTGGGATTACAGGCATGAGCCACTGCACCCAGCCCTTACCCTTTAAGTCAAGCATTTATGTCCAATGTCCCTTTGCCAAACTGGCTTTTAAACATTTGACCACTCATATATGTCACAACTTCTAGTTAATGTCATACTAATAAGGTGCAAACCATCTTATACATAAGGATTCATCATTGACTTTTTCTTCTAAGTTACATCAGATCATTGATTATAGTCTGCAGTTTATCAAGATAAGATGTTAAGTTGAAGATTTTACCTTAAATTCTAAGGAATTTTTTAAAAATGAAAAAATTAAAATGGATAAAAATATACCAATATTATCAGGATTTAGTGAGAATCACTGAAACTGAGTGGCTAGATTCTTAGTCCTAAAAAAACTCAGTGAATTATTTTTAACTAAAATTCAAGCTTAAGTCACCCTCTGTATAGAAACTTTAATTCTACTTTCTGTACTTACATTTTTTTTTCTTTTTAACTGTTTGAAAATCTCCAACACCCTTGTTCTAATTCTACGGTATTCCTGGAAATCCTTTCTCTTTGGTATATTTAATTTTATATTCTAATGTGTTTTTCCTCTCAGACACAATAATCAACTATTCAAAGATGCCATCTAATGCACTATGCTACTAAGTATTGTGGCCAGAGAGTGATTTTAAGTGTGATAAATTATCTTAAAATTGAAAAGAGCTTAAGCAAACAAAAACAAATATTATATGTTAAACACAGGCATGAATTAAATCAACTTGTGAATCGTCAAGGCAACTTACAAAAATGCTTTAAGACATATCAAGTAAGAATAGGAAGGAAGAGCCCTTCAATCCCTGACAACGCTGCATCTGCTCCCACTGGCTTTAGGAGTTGTTAGAGTCCCATGCTGTTTTTTTATTGTTTTTTTTTTTTTTTTTTCAGGGAAAGTCTCCCTCTGTCCAGGCTGGAATGAAGTGGTATGATCTTGAATCACTGCAACCTCTGCCTTCCTGGTTTAAGTGATTCTCCTGCCTCAGCCTCCTGAGTCGCTAGGACTACAGGCATTTGCCACTACACCCAGCTAATTTTTATATTTTTAGTAGAGACAGGGTTTTACCATGCTGGCCAGGATAGTCTTGATCTCTTGACGTTGTGATCCACCCATCTCAGCCTCCCAAAGTGCTGGGATTACAGGCTTGAGCCACCGCACCCAGCTGAGTCCCATGTTTTAATAGTAATACTGCATTGATTCCAAATGCATGTGCAGCAATATTGGGAGAAAAAAAAATGAAATAAATAGAAATGTTATCTTTAAAATTTAAAAAGTTTTTATTGTTTTAAAAGCCTTACATGATTCACAGCTATGAGCCCACACACTAAGGAAGTCTCTGTGCATAGGCAGAAGGAGCCTTCACTTTGGAGTGGTGTCTGTTTCTGTGTTTATGTTAAAAAGGACAACAGAGTGTAAGAGTGTTTTGTTGCCCTGACAAGAACTTAGTTGTCTTTGAGTTAACTTGAATTGAGATGTTTCTTCTTTTGAAAACATTAAGTTTTCTAGTCCTGTAGCAGGAAAGGTGGTATTTTCCTGTCTTTTTTGATGAGGGGTTCAGATGTTACATTACCCCTCATTTCTTCCTTCAGGAGAGGATGGCCTTAGCGCGCTGAAGATTAATTAAATCATCAGCACTCAAAGACCTGTTCTTGGCAGCACGATATACATCTCCATCTTTTCCCATCCTTGAAAAAGCCTAAGAATGTCAAAGAAAAAAGAGGTATCATTTTAAAAATGGTTCCAATGTTTTAACAATCACCACTGATAATAAGCCACACATGCAGACTTCTTTAGATAGTTCAGTTACAGCTACTTAGGCTGAGGTTTACACTGCCAACTTCTGTCAACTCACTAAGGTAATCTCAGGGCTAGAATTAGATTGCCAGAGCAAAGGAGGGCTTGTTTTATTAAGTTACTTAAAAATTAGGTTCTCAAAGATGTCACAGTATTGTGACAGGCTTCTAACAGCAGTATCATCTGTTACCTGTGCACTTGTTCCTTAAATGTAATGAACACACACTTTTGCAAAAAGGTTAATTAATCTATTCAAATTCCACCCAATCTGTAGTAATTACATACTCAAAGCAAATTTTAATGAGGCAGGCATGTGCTGGATTGTATTGGAATGTCAATGAAGTCAAATGACTAAAGCATTAAAAGGCACTACTTCACGTGCACATTAATTATGATAAAAAAGTATTATTTTAAAATACTTCCAGGGTACTACAGAGCATGCCTATTTTAAATGTTCAACCTTGTCAGCTGCAATTTTACTGTGTACTTACCAAAAGTCACAAACCATAAATATTACTTTGTCCCATGAAAGTTATAAAAGTTATTATTTCCTGTAAAATCCCATGTACTTCCTGCATCTAGTACTTGAGACGCGCAACCTCATACAGTCTAAGTGCTCTCGGCTTAGGCACTAATGGTTTGTCTAACAAACCCATGGGACTGACTGCACTGTAGTATACACAGTAGAAAATGACATAAATTTGCAAACTGAGTAATAAAAAATAGTCAAGAGTGGTAAGTGCATTATATAGGTAGACATCGTTAGGAATACAATGGCAAGAAATAATTTCTGTATGATTATTTGAAAGGGCAAAGGTTCAAAAGCAAAACATTGAGAATGAATTAAACTTGATTAAAACATATATATTTTTTTCACACGGAGTCTCACTCTGCTCAGGCTGGAGTGCAGTAGCGTGATCTTGGCTTACTGCAACCTCCGCCTCCCAGATTGTCCTGCCTCAGCCTCCCAAATAGCTGGGACTACAGGCGTGCACCACCATGCCCAGCTAATTTTTGTATTTTTAGTAGAGACGGGGTTACACCATATTGGCCAGACTGGTCTCGAACTTGTGACTTCATGATCCACCCGCCTTGGCCTCCTGAAGTTCTGGGATTATAGGCATGAGCCACCATGCCCGGCCTAAAATATTATTAATTATGGTCACAGAAGAGATAATATCTATAATTTTCAAATAACATAGATCCTTGTAAAAACCATAAGAGACAGGAAATAGAATGTTAAAAAGGTTAACAAACTGTTCAGTGTATTAGTTAATTTTGAAACTTTCCATTTTTTGCTTTTTTAATCTTTTTTATTTCACTCCTGCTACTCAGGCTAAAGTGCAATCGTGCAATCTCAGCTCACTGAAACCTCCACCTCTAGGGTTCAAGCAATTCTCCTGCCTCAGCCTCCTGAGTAACTGGGCTTACAGGTATGCATCACCACACCCAGCTAATTTTGTATTTTTAGAAGAGACAGTGTTTCTTTATGTTGGTCAACCTAGTCTCGAACTTCCAACCTCACGTGATCCACCCACCTCAGCCTCCCAAAGTGCTGGGATTACGGGCATAAGCCACTGCACTGGGCTGAAGCTTTCCATTTTTCTAATCACAACTTAATATGATTTAGTCACAGATGTTGGCACTGCTGACTGCAAATCCACTTAGTAACTTCATAGTCTTACCTCCAGCTTCCATGCTCTTTCTTTGTCAAGAAGAGAAACAGGCAAATGCAGGCCGTGGTCATGTGCCAAAGTGCGAAGATCAAAGTAGTATTTGGTGTAAATGCTGACAGAAACTTTGATATTGTAAATAATTAGCTTCAAGAATTGCCTTTCCAACTCATTCCTGGGGAAGGAGAAACAACAAAACCAACACAAGACAATGTTAGTTCACTGGACTATCTCCAAAAACCTTGTTCTCATGTAAGAAATGTGGTAAAGCCATCCCACGCTCTAGTTTATTAGAACACATGAAAGAACTCACACTGGACAGAACCCTATCGATGGAAGAAATACAAGAAAGCATGCAACTTTCCCAGCTCTCTTTGAAAACAGAAAAATCTTGTATTGGAAAAAAACACGGATATAAAAAAATATGTTAATACACTTGATTTTCCCACATCCTTTCAAAGACATATTCAAATTTAACATGGAGAAAAATGACATAATTTTAAAAAACACGGTAAAGCCTTCAGCTGCTTCATTTCTTTGAAAACATGAAAGGATTCAATGGAGAAATCCTTATTACATACAAACATGTGGTAAGGTCTTCAGTTGTTCCAGTTCCACATGAAGATAAGAACTCATTTCTGAAATAAAACCTATGAATGTATAGAATGTAGAAATGCCTTCATTTACATGATACTTACCCCAAGACCCATGATAACACACCCTGTAGATAGACCTTATAAATACAAGAAGCACAATGGATTGGAACCACAGTAGATTATCAAATATAGAAAAGTTTTCAGTTTTAACAATTTCTTCAACATTTATGTGAAAACTTGCCCTAGAGGGAAATCCTCTCAGCATTCCTAAATTGGAAAGCTTGATGCAAATCGGTTATGGTATAATCTTTAAAAATGTATATAAGTAAATATTATACTACTTACATTTCTCAGTGATTCTTTATTTGAAAGGGTCTCTGTACTTACTTCCACTTCTTTTGCAAGAAAGCATTGAGGATAAAATTTTGTAGATACTCCTTGAACAATACTAAATGAATTTAATAGCCAGTTTTTTTGTTTTAAATCAATTCATAAAATTTTTCCCTATTTATTTAAAAATAGTAACACTCAGCTACTAGAATGGCTCCAAATGCTGTTTTGAAACAAATACAGGCTATGCAGGTGGGTTCTTATGCTAATGTCCAAACAGGGCACAGCTGCTTGCAGTCCATTCTGCATCCAGCACCCCAAGTTTGGGATGAGGAGAAAGGTGACAGTCTCCTCTGCACTTATGCACCTGACTCAGGGATCATTCTTGAGGGTTCCATTGCACAAATCAGACTTCATGCTCACTCCCAAGGCACCACAATAGGAATCTGATGACAGAAATGATGGATGCCATTTATTAGCTGTCCTTACTACAGGGCAAGAATACTCTTTACATTTCAAATGGTAGAAAGATCAGAGAGAGAGATCTTGGCTAGACTAAACCCATTTTGTGAGATGCCTTCTGGTAGGGTGCCAGCCTTACACAGTGTTTCTCCTGAGTTGGGTTAGAAATGAAACCTCAAGGTGCTCAGCATCTGTCACCCCTGGCCAGTACAGACTGTGGGGATGAGTTGAATGCACTGAGAGGGGAAGAGGCTGGGAGGAGCCCTCTGCCACATGATTATTCAGCTGTCCTGACCAAAAAAAAATTTTTTTTTGAGACAGAGTCTTGCTCTGTCACCCAGGCTAAAGTGCAGTGGCATGATCCTAGCTCACAGCAGACTCAACCTCCCAGGATCAAGTGACCCATGCACCTAAGCCTTTCAAGTAGCTGGGACTACAGGCTCATGCCCCTTAGCTGGGCTATTTTAAAAACAATTATTTTTGTAGAGAGAGAGTCTCACTTTTTGCCCAGGCTGGTAAAACTCCTGTGATCAAGTGATAATCCTACCTTGGCCTCCCAAAGTGCTATATTATAAACATGAGCCACTGTATGCAGCACTTTGTCAAATGTTTAAATAAATATAAAACTAGAGTAAGTGTACCACTTTCACAGTAATCTCTGTAAAAACTTAATTGTATAAAAACAATACCTCAACAACATATTTGTGTTTCTTGGTTTTAAAGTTTTGGGTTTTATCCACTGGCTAAGTCAATAAATGCCTGATGTTCTTCAGTATGGAAAGCAGTTAGGATATAAGCAGATACGTGGGTTTCTTGTTTGTTTAACTGAAAACCCAGCTGAAACTACTTCCAACATTAATTTCCTATTCATATAACCATAAGGCTATAGGAATGTAAATCAGATAATGCTTTAACAATCAGTTAATCAGTACTTAATTTACTATAGGAATATATGCACTTCATAATCTTTTGTGTTTTTCCATAAAAATATTCTAACTATGCCTACAGGATATGCATCTCTCTCTCTCTCTCTCTCTCTCTCTCTCTCTCTCTCTCTCTCTCTCTCTCTCT